TAATTAGAAAAAAAACTTGGAGTATATCGTGGTTTTGTTATTAATTCATTGTCATGCCTGAAAGAGCTTAATGAGCTTCTTGGCGTCGTCGTATTGCATGGGTGGTATGTACAAATCTTGAAGATAGTCCGACTTAATTTTAAATCTCTCCTCTTTCAATTTTCTGCTGTATTCTTCAAAAATATCGACAACGTTTGATGGTCGTTCAGCTAATACTTTTGCCAAAAGCTCGATTAAATGGTCATATCTAATAAAAATTATCATTATATGTAAATTAATAACAATTTATTTACTCAGTATTGTTTACTATATAATAGTGTTTCTTTATTTTTATTTAATATATTTCGACTTCTATAACGTTTAAAAATATATGACTACATAATCTTACAATTCATATTTCAGACTTAACGCAATATAATTGTTTTTACCATACTTTTCAGTAAACTTTTTCGTACCACTATTTTTTTATTTTCCCTAAAGAACATATACCATATAATAAATATGTGAAAAAAATATTGAAAATAAAGGTACGTCTCAAATAGAGTACAATCATATAAAAATAATGAAAAAATCGTATAATTTTTCTGGCAAAAGATTTAATGATGCGCGTACAAACTGTCACCCGATTCCGTGCTGTGTTTTTGAAGAAATAGTTTCGCGCGTCGGATATCATGCTTGACACTCGGAATGTCGTCGGAAAGTACTTCTTCTACGATATAAGAATATGCCATACTTATTGTGTTGTTTTTTACGCCTCACAATATGCGACTAGTTCATAAAATTGTATGCGATGTCACATCACCGGATACTCAGTAATATTATCGCAGTAACGTAACCACTACGCAAGTTCTGTCATCGTTTGGTAACTTATATCAGCGCCAACTGATTTTTTTTAATCGGCGCTGTTCATCCGTTTTTCCGTTCATTATCATCCTGTGCTGCGAAATCACTGCGATTGTGGTTACAAAAATATAAAATCTTATCTAGTGACCTAATTATTTCAACACATTGCACTGCTAAAAATGCTTAATCAGCTTTGTCAAAAGTAGATAGAACGATAGTTGAGATAAATGTCTCCTACGCATTCCTATCGAATAAGAACCCATTTCCGAGTGAAGATGCTGTAAGCTGTGTATATACATAACACTTTTTGAAAATATTTGAAATTTGAAAATACTTCAATATTTAAAAGAAAACATTCTTTTTTCTTCCTCAGTATAACGTTAATGAATTTGATGTACGCGCGTGAATATAATATAGTAGTCAAAAAAATCTATATAAAATTCTTTGAATTTAAAATGTTTGTATACATTTGAATCCTTCAGTTATATGTAATACTTCCTCTTCTTTTTCTGCATTCTGTATTTATATTATATGTGATATCTATAACGATATACAGTTATACTATGGATAATTCTCTGATTAAGTAAATTAAAAGAAAAATGTGGATGAATAATATGACTTAATAAAGATGAATCGCACGCGCACAGTTTCTATCAACTTGCATCCTGGAGCATACTTATCGTCTATCGGGTGTCCTAAATATGATGGACACTTCTCGAGGTCACTGGTTGTTTCCTTTAACGCCCACCTTTCTTTTCCAGCGTAGAACACGTGTCCCCCGTCTTCAAAAACTACCACAACAATAAATGTTCAGATTTCTTGAAATTAAAAGGTTCCAAAAATTTATAATGCCAAGAGTAGCTTTAAAAATAATAATAATAAGATTTTTTATTTCCGCTTACAAATTTGACTATATAATTATTAAATTATGAGATGAGAAACATACACACACACACACACACACACATCTTATATGTTACTTTATTAATTATTCACCATTATAGCATATGCACGTTTATATAGAGATTTATAATTTTTTTTTATTACAGATATACCGACCAAAAATATTTGTTCCGTAAAAGTTATCTAATAGTCTAAAAATAAATGTCTTATAAATTGTATTTATGAAATACTGTTTTTTAAAATTATTCTTTGTTCTATTATACTTATATATATGTATTCGTATATATACGACATATGCACTAATGTCTAAAGAATTATTATTAATAGAATTAGAAATTGAAGAGTGACTTTGGAGAATAAATAAGTTTGCTTTTATTCCTGCGCTATCTAAACTAATATACATGGTGTAATATGAAGTGAAACAAATATACGTTTCATTACAATAAGCTTAAGATTGAAGATACAGTATGATGATAAATTTTTGCTTTTTTTGTAAAATTATTAATAAGTAAGTGTCTGTCATTAAAATTATAATTTAACGTCACAAATCAATAACATCTTTAAATATAATAATAATCATTGTATTTTTTTAAAGGTATCACATTAGATTCACATGAATTCATACAATCGGACGTTTCAGCTTTGTTCGAGCTATCATCAATGATATCCAAACGATGAATACAAAAATTATTCGCAGTAGTCAGATTCAAAAGAGCAATCGAAAGAGAGCTGTAAACTGAATGGACAAGCAGATTTGTTAAAAGAACTGAATCGTACCGAAAACAATATTGAAATAATATTGAGTGAATTTCAATATTGTATTTGGTGCGGTTCAGTTCTCTTAACAAGTTCGTTTGTTCATTTCTCTAAAATAATTTCCTCTCATTCGTTATGTTTGGTCAAAGTTTGCATCTGCGCTTACTTAGCTAAACAGCTAATTGTCATTGATGCTTGTCAAATATAGAATTAAAGAGGCTCTTTCGGTTGCTCTCTTGAATCTGACTGTTATAGCGAATAATTTTTGCATTCATCGTTTGGACATCGCTGATGGTGGGTCGAACGGAGCCGAAACGTTCGATTATATGAATTCATGTGAATCTAATGTAAGATCTTTCAAAAAAATACAATAGTTAACTATATTCATAAATAACTGTGTCTAGTTTAGTTCTCAATTGCTCGTCAATTAATGTATATTTATTATTACATATTATTTAGTATCTCGAGAGAGCTCAATTAATTTTATTTTTATATTATTAAATAATATTTTTTATTTATAAATTTTCTTATATATAATACGAAATTTTCTATCGACATTATAACCCGAATATACTGCAGTCATAACCGCGGACAATGCGTGCGACTTTAATTACAATTCGGTTGCTACATCGTCAACAAGCCAAAATTATGGCTGTGTCGTACCGGAAGGTATACGGTCGAGCACGTGGCAAGCTTCAAACATTGGATTGCATATAGTTCAGGATTTCGTAATTTCAAGAGTTATAACAGGTGGTGTTGGACGAACACATCATCCCACCGATGTAGTGTTCAACATGCTCTTCGACGGACCAGCTGCGTCACTCGGCATTCCGCTCGGCACTTCGCCGCTGCATAATGCCACGTAATTAACAAAATGGTATGCCGATTAATAAAACGTGAACGCATGATTACCCAGGCTGGCATGTATCGGGCGGACGGACGGATTCGGAGCAGAACGGATTACCCGATTCGCCGAAATTCAATAGCCACTGCAGTTTGACGCGCATTGTTCGCGCGACGGCCAGATGCGTTAATTAACAAAAGGCCGTTAATGTATGAGCGTCTATCGCAGATGCGATTTTCAACTAATAACGATGATAAACGAGTTCGAATAATCCGACTCTCGCTCATACGTGAGATAGTCCGATAGACGACAATCGCGCTACTTTCCTCGGTCATTCCATTTTCCGATATTGTAGTTAACGTATAGTTACTGTACAATTATAGTATGTCAAGTGTATATATAATGCGTTTTCTTAAAAATAAAAATTAAATATTTTAATTTTACACAAATATAGTGTAGGTGTTAATAACTATTAATAAAATGTGCTTTCTTAGTTTAGTGTGAAAATTATTTCATCAAAATTATTTCTTTAAAAATTCCTAAAAATTTATTTGTTCATAAATTAAAGAATATTGTAACTTTGACAGTTTTAAGGATTTTTAAGAACAATGTTTAGTATATAAAATTGACAAAAAAATTCTTAAAGGAAGATTTATATAACTTGTAGAATTTTACATAAAATTGCTTATATGAAAGTTTATATAAAAGTTTTGTATAGGTTGTCTACATTTCTTTTTATATAAGAATTTCAATATTTTTACGAATCTTGATAAAAAAAAAGAGAGTAAGCAAATATATAGTTTCCAGAATTTTCCTTCGGGAAAAGTTCCTTTACACGCTTCATTGGCGATACTTTTAAAGAAGAGCGAAGAACGATAAATTTGTTAATCAAGCGACATTGGTATAGCTTTTCGAATGTAGACGACGAGTGCTAAAGTTATTGCTCGTAATTTGCGGGTGCGTTGGAGTATGAATGAGTTTCTACCTCTCTCTCTCTCTCTCTCTCTCTCTAATCATTCCATTCTCACCAATCGACCACCCCGTCGTCTTTTACCAGTCCTACTCATCCCCTCCATATTTTAATTTTTTTTCTTCCTCTTATCTCTCTCTCTGTCTCTCTCTCTCTCTCTCTCTCTCTCTCTCTCTCTCTCTCTCTCTCTC